CACACCCCCCTTCCCTGCGCCCGCCTAGCCAACGCTGCCCTCCCATGCGCCCTCCTAGCCCAGCTTCGCCCCCATCTGCACCCGCCCTGCCCAACGCCACCCTGCCCTGCACCCTACTTGCCCAGGGGAGGGCGGCGCTGGGCAGGGCGGTTCAGGGCAGTGCAGGCGCGGGGTGGGGCGGGAATTGGAACAGGGCAGAGGTGCCACCCACGTTCTTGTGGGTCTGGGTTCAATTCCCAGTTGTCCCGTACTGACCCATGATACATACACACATTTGTACGAGAATGCATGAGCACACGGATGGTGGGGCACACACATTCACACACAAAGGAAGGAGGGAGGGAAGGAGGGAAGGCCAAGGGAATGCAGGGGACAGCAGAGGGGAAGGCACAGGATGGCAGAAGGGAGGGCAGATGGAAGGGGAAGGGAGGATGATGGGAGGGAGCGTGGAGGGAAGTGGGGGGCCCTGGTCCGGGGGTGGCAAAACGAGGGGGGAAAGGGGGAAAACGCGGCGGGCCGGGTTGGTCAGGAGGGCGTGTGTAAGGGCATGACGGGGGCCCCCTGCAACCTAGGCGACGCATTCGTTGGAACGTCATCATGCTTCTGCTTCTGCTTCTGCTTCTGCTTCTGCTGCTGCTGCTGCTTCTGCTTCTGCTTCTGCTTCTGCTTCTGCTTCTGCTGCTGCTTCTGCTTCTGCTGCTGCTGCTGTCGCTGCTCCTTCTGTATCTGCTTCCGTTGCTGCTTCTGCAGCCGCTGCTGTTGCTTCTTCAGCCACTGCTCCTGCTGCTGCAGCCGCTGCACCTGCTGCTGCAGCAACTGCTGCTTCTGCTGCAGCCGCTCCTGCTTCTGCTTCTGCTTCTGCTGCCAATGCCGCCACACAAGCCCTGTCTCCTCCTTGTTGCTGCTGGGGTCACCATGATCATCACCCCTGCAGGTCCGTACTAGGTGCTGGCCCATGCTGCACTTCTGTTTCTTGGACAATGATGCTTGAATTCCCCCTGACCCGAGGTGTGGTCGCTTGCCTGGAGTTTCGTTGCAACTGTGGCAGCGCTTGCCAAGCCTCAACAGCTGTGGTGGCTGCTGCACTGGCAGTCGTCGTGGCAGCAGCAAGGGTGGGCACATCAATTGCCTGCCGTTGATGTTGCCATGGCCACTGCTGCAGCTGTTGTTGGCTGGCTGCCTGTGCTGCTGCTGCAGTGGCAGCTGCACTTCCTCCTTGTCATCGTTGTCCTCCTCCGCCACCTCCGCCGCCTCCTCTGCCTCCTCCGCCTCCTCCGCCTCCTCAGCCTCCTCCGCTTCCTCAGCCTCCTCAGCCTCCTCAGCCTCCTCAGCCTCCTCAGCCTCCTCCGCTTCCTCAGCCTCCTCAGCCTCCTCAGCCTCCTCCGCTTCCT